AGTTGCTAGCTTCACTTACAAACTGACTGGCTCCCAGCCCTCTGAGAACATCTTCTGCTTCCCGTTTTCCTTTTCTTTGTCCTCATGGTTGTATCATTTCCACATTGTAGGACTATATGATGCTGACATTGTTCTGCTACCAGCCGTCTGCTCCTTTCTTATTTTTTTAGTTTTATAGTATAAGTATACTTGAAATTCATAAGCCTTCCCAGAGGTCCCTTTGTCAGATAAAATTAATGATTTCACAGTCTCCTACAAAAAGAGGAGAATGAAGGAAAAAATTATGGGGAATTTGCCCATAATTTTAAAATATAGTCTAATGTAGCAAAAGAAAATGATATGATTAACCTAGCCTTAGAGCTGACTTTTGTTGTTTTGTTCTGTTTGAGACATGGTCTCTCTATCTAGTTCAGGCTGGCCTTGAACTCACTATGTAGCCCAGACTGGCCTCGGACTCACAGTGATCCTCCTGCCTCAGCCTCCTAAGTGCTGGGATTACAGGAATGTCCCTGGGGAGAAGTGATATATATTCTCACCCAAATAGCTTTAAAAACAATGTGATTAGAAAAGTGAGGTGGTTGATATCACAGAAATGTGCAAACAATATGGGGAAAGAATCCCCACATGCCAACTTTAATATACCACAATAATTCTGGATATAACTAGTTAAAAGACATACACTAAAACATAGTCACTCTCAGTTACTTTCTTCTCATTGCTGGGAGAAAATACCTAACACCCAAAATTAAGGAAGGAAAGGCTTATTTAGCTCACAGTTAGTGGAGGTTTCAGTCCATACTCAGCTGGCTCCAAGGCAGAGTGGCACATGGCTGAGAGCAGCAGTTCATGGCAGTGCAAAAACAGCAAAGAGTAAAGGGAGAAGCAGCAGCTGTGGCAGCTAGCAAGCTTCTCTCCCTTCCTTATATTGTATGCAGGCTACCTGCCTGAGGGTACCCACATCCATAATCCCAGTATTGTATCACAAACTCTAGAAGCCTGTCCCAATGACTGCATGAAGCTTTGAGAGAACAACTAGACATAACCATAACATTCGCTGAAGAGAAAGCCTCATCTGGTCATTTGCATGGGTATGACAACCCACAGTTGTGGATCTTTAGCTTCCTCCTACGACTACAGAATCAAAACCTTTAGAAATATGAGGTAGCAACCTGCACTCTTACTCCTTAGATGATACTAATGCAAATTAAAGTGTGGAGGGGCCAGGGAGATAGTCAGTAGAATAAGCGCTTGCCTGGCAAGTGCAAGGGCCTAAGTTCAATCCCCGGTTCCACCAAAAAAAAAAGTGCAACTACTGGCCCACACAGAAGCCATCTACTGAATGACTTTTGTCCACTATTTTGTATAACCCCCATGAAAACCTTTGAAGAATTTAGTTATTTAGAGATTTTTACAAATGAGATCTCTGCAACCTGAGGAGGTTAAGAAACTTGCCAACAGCCCCAACACTGAGAAGGGGAACAGCAGACATTCTAATAACAAAGCCAGGTCTGACTGACCCAAACATCAAATCCTCTAATTATTTTATGGTAGAGGGAGGTTTTCTAAAATGTTTGTAAGATTTTAGATTTAGGGGGTACAAGGGCAAAAAGACTCCAGACAAACAGGTGACACCTCCAAAAAATAGAGGGCTAGGAGTGTATTTTGATGGGAAAATGTGTGCTTAGCATGTATAGGGCCCTGAGTTCAATCCCCAACATAAAAGAAAGAGAAATGGAAGAGGGACAGAAAGGAGGGAGAGGGAGGGAAGGAAGAGAGGGAGTGTGGGAGGAAAAGAGAGAAGGATAGAGGGAAGGAGACAGGCAGGGAGGGAGAGAGGAAAAGAGAGAAGGGATGGAGGGAGCCAAGATCCCCTGCTGGAGAATATAAAGGCCTCCAATGTATTACTAAGGTCACAGGCTAGAGCTTCAGCGTCAAAGTAGGTGTCTGGTGCGATCACACAGGACAGGGCCCCACATTCAGAAAGGTCCAACTTAAGGTTTAAAGCAGCTTTCCTGCCATCTTGAAATTCTTTATCGCTTATCATCAAATTTCTGTTTCGCAATGGACTGTGTGCCAGGGCTTGATGTTGGCTCATACAAAATCTCAGCACATCCTCAGACAGGTTCTCACCACCCTCTTCCCCATCCTTGACTCCCAGAACCCCCTACCTGCCACACTCTCCCCTGACACCTGCTGCCTCCACCCACCAGCAGAGGCCTGAGTACAAACAAGGGGCAGTGATGGGGTCTGGTTTGTGTTCTCTGAGGTTTCTCAGAGAGGTGTGCGGCCAGGGTCCCAGCACAGTGTTGGGTGGGTGTCTCAGCAGAGTGAACCTCTTGTCTACCCCTGATGTGGTCACAGTGGGTACAAAGCCCTCAGAGGTCACTTGTCCACTACAGGCCGGGACAGTGGGCCTGTGGACCAGGGAGGGGCTGTGTCTACTTTCCCGCCCTCCTGGCCAGGGCCTGGTGTACCAGCCACTGGTGTATCAGCTGGAGAAAAGAGAAGCCCAATGGCTGGTGGGCTGAATCACAGGGCAGGGGCCCAGCACCTGTGAGTAACTGCATGATAATCAACAGCAAGCAAAAAAGCTAACAGGCTGGATGACATGGTGGAAAGGAGGGAAGCACTTTCTGTGTGGTGTCTGAACAAGAGGTCACACATTTTCAACTCTGCCCTGGGCCTCACAAACTCCTATCCTTTCCAGCATACATAAGACTTCAACATTTTTGAGGGTAGATCCCTACACAGCTGGAGGAAGATAACCATGCCTGTCCTCAAAAGGCCACATGCATCTGTAGGGAAGGCCTGGATGCTGTGTTACCACCCAAGCACCCACAGGCTTTTCTGAGCTCTCCCAATCCTGCTCTTCCTACTTTGTGTCACCAACCTGTCACCCTTTCCATCACCATGTGACCTGGAGAACTACAAAGAACACAAGGCAAAGCAGCTCTGACTGGCACGGCATTTATATTTAAAACATGAGGCTTCTGTTTTAATCATGTAAAAATTTGCAAAGGAATCACCTTGGAAACTAAGAGACTCTGATCATTAAAATTAGCTAGAAGCAGATAATCTCTAGAGCAGTTACTCTGCAAACCTTTTTATTAACTTTGTAGGGAAAATTTCTCCAGAAACTGCGATAAATGTAAGGCAAGGAAATATAATGTCCACTTCAGGGTTTTAAAGGGACACACAAAGGGGCTGGGGAGATAGCTCAGTAGAATAAACACTTGCCTGGCAAGCACAAGGGCCTGAGTTCAATCCCCGGTTCCGCAAAAAATAAATAAATTAAACTGGGGCTGGTGAGATGGCTCAGTGGTCTAAAGCACCTACTTAGAACAAGCTTAGCAAAGCACAGGGACCGCGGTTCAATCCCCCAGCACCACATGCCAGCCAGCCCCGCCCCCTGGTGGGCTGAGCTGGCCACACTCACACACACACACACACACACACACACACACACACACACAAATAAAATAAATAAATTTAAAAAAAATAAAATATAATAAAATAAAGGGACACACAAAACTCATTTTGTTAGTCATTCAGAGTCATGTGTGCTTAATCCACTCAGAAAGAAAATACAAATACATCGTCATCACACTAAAACATGAACCTGGTAGAGTATGCGCTTCATACACACAAGGTCCTGGGTTCAATACCCAGTACCAAAATGAAAGCAACTAAACAAAACAAATAAAAATGTCCCTATATGTCTGCTGATTTTATCAGGGGAGAAAATGTTGTACTATACTAAAATGAAACAATAATGAAGATGTGAGGCTTTCTCCCTAAATAATTTATTTTGTTATATGTATCCCTTTCAGTTAGATCCTCAAATCATCCCATGAAATGTCAAAAGCTTTTCCCAAAAATCCATCCATTCTTCTCTTTTTCCTTGCAGAGATATAAAAAACATAACTTGTGCTTTCTTATACTTTTCCAAGAAAAAAAAAAAAAAAACTATTTTTTAAAAGAATGGACAACCTTACAGGATTTTAGCAAAAATAAAGATAACAATATAGTGTGTTCAGATAGCCAAATTAAGAGATGCAATAGTACTAATGGTTAGGGTCACTAATTTCCAAACGGAAACAGAATCTGCTTAACACTGTCAAATCACATCTTTGAATCTGGGGTGGTGCTTCCAGAAAAATAAAAAAGGGAAAATGAACCACTTAATATAGAGTGTTCCACTTTTTTTTTTTTTTTTTTTTCTTTTTCTCCAGGAAGGGGTAAGACAATATCTACAGGCAGCCCTCGGATTGCTTCACCCACTTCTGGATGACTTTGGGCAGAGGTTTTCTAACTTCCACCTTTCGCCTTTCCCCTCTCCTCTGCTCCTCAGGAGATTCCCTACTTAAAGCAGAGCCAGGCCAGGGAGGTGACCCTTCCTCCCACTCAGACTGGGGACTCTGACTCCCACCACACTCGGGATCTCTTTACTCAACACAATGAAGCTATCTCTGCACTTCTAAATCTCTTGGCCTAAATCCTTCAATCTTCACAAACATTTTTCCTTTTTCACTCATCTTTCCACTGTTCTTCACATTTGCCTGTTTATCACAAGGACATACAGACAATACTATGTGCAAACAGGTCCCTTTTTTTTCACACACACATAAATCGCATTCCTTCACTCTTCATAGTCCCCTCCACAAGCCCTGCCCAGGACTCCACTGTAAATCTCAAGTCACCTGGAACTAACATGGCACTGGATCGGGCTAACTGTTATCCATCATGCCTACAGACAAGCTTCTAAAATCAGTTCAAGTTGAACCCGCAGGCCTGAGGTAGGTCCACTTTCACTCAGCTCACACTGCCTTAGGACTAACCACAGTACTTGCATTCTCTACCCACTTTCCAGCCTGTGGAGGATTTTATGGGTGTACAATGCCAATGAAGTTCTCCAACCCCAGAAGAAAAGACCTGAATGACTGCAGGTTGGGGATAGAGGTGATGTGGACTATTCATGCCCCAGGGAAAGACTCTCTTACCTTTGTGATTGCAGTGAAGACCTTTTCCAGAATGGCGTTGGGCTGGGCAATCTGCGGCCCACTGGCCTGGATGCTGAGAGCGATGGCACATGGTTTGGCTATAAATCTAGAGAGAAAGAGAGGGCAAGAAAAGTTATTTTCTATAGGTGTTCTTAATACCACCAGTTATACGTTTACACATTACTCAATTACCCTGATAAAATGTCAACAGTCACACACAAGTCACTACAAAGCAGCCCTAGTTGCTTTCCCTCCTTTAGTCCTCCAGCAGTGACATTAAAAAAAGAAAACCTGTTAAATATTTAAATGCCTTGATCATCAGTTCTGATGAAACTCAACAGATGAAAAAATTACCAGATAAAAGTTTAATTATATACATGAGATATGTAAATAAAACAATGATTTTAAAATGACATACTCTTCTAACACATTATCAACAGCCATATTATTTTATTATAGAAATATTCATTCAGCATTTGATTACACATGCAGAGAATGTTTTGATCACCCTAGGCATACACTTGGCTGTCTTGCAACTATGAGAGAAGGGTGTCACACTCAGTCCCACCCCCTGTGGCTTCCGAAAATTCCTTGCTTTACAGTGATTTGCTTGTTTCTCATAGGAATAGTGAAGGATGGTGTGCCATCCCAAGCAGGTTGAAAGTATCAAGTGTTCACAATTATCAGAACTGTTCTACTGTAAGCAGCTGCTACTATCAAGAAGAATGGGAAGGTCGGGACTTCTTTCCAATTGTACCTGATGTGTGAATAGGGTGCAAAAGAGAACAGGCAGCGTGCACGGGCTCCCAGATGGACAGTGACTTCTCTAATGAAACTAAAAAAAGCTTTTATAACTTCAAAGGTAGTTTTAGACTAAATGCTCACCAAAACAAAGCTTCTGTAAACAATTTATTGTCAGTCATGACATTGAATATCTTTTATTAATATAAAGTAATTAAATATCATTTGAAAGTATTATTACCCAAGATTAATTCAATGTTGGCCAAAGGCAACAACTGATAAATGCACAAAATAGATCATGAGTAAATCTCGGATGAGGCTCCCTTAATAGTAGCTAATGAGATGAACAAGCAATGAGACAAAGATTTTTTTCTAATGGGTCTAATAGAGTGACATAGTGCCACATAATATCCTACTAGGTCCTGTTGCAAGTAAAAGTGAAAAAATTTCTTCAAACAAGAAAACAAGAAGGGCTGGCCAAATAGCTCAGCAGATTAAAGCACCTGCAAGTAGGCACAGGGCTGGAGGTTCAATCCCCCCACCTGCAGTGCCAGCCCTGCTCCCAGGGCGCACTGAGATGGCAATTGAGACTGGACATGGTGGCACACGCCTGTAATCCTAGCTCTTGGGAGGCTCTAAACAGGCAGATCACTACGAGTAGGATCTAGTGGTAAGACCCTGAACACCCTGTAGACCCTTCCCTAAAGTTAAAAAAAAAAACAACAATACTGTACATGAGCAAGCCTAGTCCTAAAAAAAAATATAATAGCTGTTACAGCGTGCTGCCTGGCAGAAAGTTGGGAGGGAAGAATGATCACTCTTCTCAATTTTTCATAAATCTTTTTTTTTAATCTTTTATTTATTTATGTATTTGGTAAGGGTCTCGCTATACAACTCAGACTCATAGTGATCCTCCTGTTTCAGCTTCCCCAGCACTGAGATTACAGGTGCGTGCCACCATACCCAGTTTCAGTGGCCAGCATGGCACTCCCTGAACCCCAAGGCTGGCATGGTATATGTGGTACTAGCAATCACACCCGGATCCTTTCACTTGCCAGGCAGGTGCTTAGACTGCTGAGCTATCTTCCCAGCCTGCAAATCTTTTAGAAACTGCCATATCCCCAAAATATTCCCATTCTCAATTCATTCTCATAATGTAAAACATTTTGAGTTACATTACCTATGTCCCTACTTTTCCTAATAATTCTGGACCTTCCTTATATACAATAAACATGGAGTGATGGCGATGGGTATAGTGGCAAACAACATGGAATTTAATGGATGATATAAAAAGCAGAGTTCAGAATTTATTTCCTTGATAAAATTTCCTGTTTTCTGTCCCCTCACTTTAAGGTATAACAAGGGTGTAAAAAGATATGAAGTATAACAGAAAATTAAAATTAAGATAAAAGAGCAAATTATTTTGATGCAAATGCCAAAATTAACTCCTCCGATGGCTTTTTCTCCTCGCCCCTCCCTAGCCTTATTTCCCCCATTCCCACTACTTCCAGTTCCCTTTGGGACTTCTATCATCACCCTTGAAACACCCTGCTGATGTGGAACACAACCCTCCTGCTAAATATTGAAGCCTCTCGCTCCAGAGTCTGAACATCTCTTTGAAACCTCAAGCAAGGGATGACACATTTCTTTCCCAGGAAGGCCATTATACTCAGCACCTCATTCTCATTTACTGGCCAGTCTGAGCCTGAATTATGAGGATCTGAAGAAAAGATGTGTGTATACAATTAACAACAAATCAGCTTAAGGGAATTTCACTCAATCTAAAGGTTGAAGTCTTTGAAGTCTTTGCTTGAATTCACTGTGTCACAGAACTCACATGCACTAACACTGTAGGCATCCAACAAAAGCTGGATGGAGGAATAAATTAATGAGACCAGCTAAAATACAATGATAAGGTCTTTACTATCTCTTCCTAGGGGGGAGGAGCTATGTGTTTTAACTCAATGAATGTAACATCTACTCAGGGGAGGAGACCGACCATTCCAATACCAGAAGCTGTACCTATAATTTCCCTGTCCTTATAATGTCTGCACTGCCTCTAAACAGCAGGCAAACACTCAACTTCTAAGATATAGAAAATTGTATAGAATAGGGAGAAAAAGTTAATCTCAAAAGAAGAAGGAAAAGAAACACAATAACTCTTCCCTGGTTATATGAAAATATAAAAATTTTTATTTGTATTTATTCTCAAAAGAATTTGTGAATAGTCTCTACCAGGGTGGGGCTTTCTCTTCAGAGAGAAAATTAGATTCTAAATAAAACCTGTTTCACAACTACACAACTTTATCAACTTCTGTCATAGTACATTACAGAAAAGTTGGATTTTTTTCAAAAAAAAAAAAATGGCTCTAACAAAATAAATTCACAAAAGCTGTCTTTTGCTGTGGTTGGGGAGATACAGACATGGACAGAGGGAAACAGCTAGGATACCTAGAAATACAATAGTTGGAAGAAGTATTTTCTTTTGAGCTTTGATGGTTACCTGTACCCGGAACTCCTCACCTAATTACTTTTCTATTAAAGGCGGCAATGCCACCTTCAAAAGATCAAACACCTATGAAGTACTTTTATGTACTATGTTTGAAAGTAAATATAATAAGGATGTAAGTTTTGAAAGATCCTGGCCTTGGTTAAAAAGCTGAGAAAATGTTTAAGACATTCCTACTTCTCAATCCTATTGAATAACATGTATTTGTATTTTAAACAGAAAAAAAAAAATCTTTGGCACAACATAAGGAAGCAACACTGGGAAGTGCTTTGGTGAGGCTAATACACATAGGAGATGTCAGCTTGGCAATCAAGACATTTACAGTCTGGAAGAAGAAATTATTTTTAAAGACGTTTACAGAGTATGTGTCTCGGTTCCAAATACCTGAAAATATTTATTAATCTTCTTAGCCAGGGATGAGGCCAAGGCTGAAAGATCACAAGTTCAAGCCCAGCTTCAGCAACTTAGCATCAAAGAAGACCTTGTCACAAAATTAAAAATGAAAAGCACTAGGGGTATAGCTCATTGTGGAAGCCCTGGGTTCAGTCACGAGTACAAAAGAAAAGTTATCATCTTCAGTAGATAGTATGGTCAGAAGTTGTTACTTCATTCCAACCACAGCATTTCCTACACTTTTCAAAGACTGTGGTGCTAAACACAAACATCTCCATATGACACATATGATAAAACACACACACTCTCTCTCAGACACACACACACACACACACACACACACACACAAATACAAGTAAAGGTGGAGCTGAGTATACTCAGCAAATTGTATCAGTGTCAGTATCCTGGTTATGATATCATACTACAGTTTTGCACGATGGGGTAACTGAGTAAAGTGATTATGAGCGGAGCACTCGCTACAGTAATTCTAACATCAGTGTGAGAATCTACTCTTATCTCAACAAAAGTAACAGGAAAGGGGACTGTGCTTCTGCTGTTGGGAATGAGCTCCTCACAAACAGCATTTTCATCTGCAGCTCTGCACAACCTGCACAACATAACAACCCTCCCTCCTCAACACCCCCAAACAAAATGAAACACACTGTCTGGAGCTTTGGACACTGTACAGAAGCTAAAGGACTTTGGAAAGAAGTCAAGAGCTGGAACAATCAGCAAAAAGTGAACACTCTGCCGGCCCACTTCTCTATTTGCTTTGCAGCTCTATTCTGAGCTCAGACACCCACAGTGGCAGGTATAACTGCTAGAAAAGCATTCTTCCTAGTTGCAGGACTCAGGGTAAGGAAGCGAGGGAGATCAGAGTGGGACTAGACAGCCACAGCAGGAGAAAGCCAGAGAAGCGGGCCCTAATTACTTGCATGGAGCAAGCATGATTGCAGCCAACTTCTGAACCAGGAATGTACAAGATAAACTGAATGCAGCTAAGGTTAAAGTAGTGATCCGAGACTAAAGCCACTGTCTGCTGCAGGAGCTACAGGCTACGATCTGAGTCAGAGTAAAAGGCCCGATAGAGAATCATCAACATTTTTCAAGGCAGGATACAAAGGAGGGTGGTGATGAGGCCTGAGGAAAATATGGCCACCACGGGGGACTAAACATGCAAAAGAAAAATGCAATGCACTTGAGCCACCCAATCTGAAAAAGAGAACAAAGTGGAAAAAACAAGCATGTACTTACAGGATGTACTGGAACAATTTTTTTTTTAAATGCATTTAGTACAGGGTCTACAGGGTCTCACTACAGGTCTAGATCATAAGACTCTAGTGATCCACCTGTTCTCAGCCTCCCAAGTGCTGGGATTACAGGTGTGTGCCACCACAGCCAGTCTCAGTTGTGCCCCGGGGGCGGGGCCAGCATGGCACACTAGGGATCAAACCCCAGTCCCT